CGTTACAAGGTTACCAAGGTGAGGAAGGATGCAGAACTGAGAGCACACATACTGACACACATACACACACATGCAGATTAACAAAAACCACATACACACCCACACACAATCCACATACACACACATACACTGATGGGTGTTTTTCAGGTGATCGGTGCAGCAGAGAAACAGGCAGAAGGAAAAAGGGAAAGGGGCTTTATTTTCTTTGAGGACATGAGAGAGAATGTGAGGAAGGATGAGGAATTCTCTATTGGAACAAAGGGAGGCTGAGGCTGTTATGGCCTTTTGCCCGGGGTGGAGCTTGCAGGGGATGTTTAGAGCTTGCAGGGGATGTTTAGATATACCAGAGGGAGCTGATTTGGGGTCTTCCCTGAGGCAGCAGGAAGGGTGGAAGTAAGTTATGTCTTGGGCTAAATTAGAGAAGGGGGCGGTTGTCTTGGGAAGATGGGCTTTTGTTTTAAGGGCATCAGCCATATTAGATGACCACTACAATGATTTTAGTAATTTATACTAGGGCCAGAACCGATCGTACACACTCACACAGAAGCACTACTGTCACTTGGTCTGAGGGATGAGTCTTTCCAACAATGTAGAGAAAAACTAGAGACTGAGCTCTTCAAATGTAGCTCCCCACAGTCTGATCTCCAGGCCATGTCTCAAGCCCAGCAGCTACACAGGGACCCTCAACACCTGACTCTCTGGTGTAGATTTTTTAAGGGCAAGTTGCAAACAGAGACAGAAGGTGAGGTGTCTTGCACAGTATCTTTTTTTTTTTTACATTTATTTAGTGTGTGTGTGTGTGTGTGTGTGTGTGTGTGTGTGGCCAGCTCAGCCCACCAGGGGGCACGGCTGGCTGGCATGTGGTGCTGGGGGATCGAACCGCGGTCCCTGTGCTTTGCCGAGCTTGTTCCAAGTAGGTGCTTTAGACCACTGAGCCATCTCTCCAGCCCCCTTTTTTTTTTTTTTTTTTTTCCTCGAACGCCTTCAGGGCACTTTTGGCCAGCAGGAGAGTTGTGAGGTTCGAACTCCAGCAACCTGAGGCTGACAGCTTTGTGGAAGCTGCCACTTAAAGGCCTGAGCTAGGGCCAGGCCCCCCTTGCACAGTATCTTTAGGGAAATGGTAGACCAATAGTCCTCATTCCCATGTAAGAAATGAAAACATGTGTGCATGCAGTATGCTTGTAGAAGAGTTAAATTTTTTCTCTCAAGAAATGCCGGAGAACACTTCCGTGTACTTTAAAACAATGGATTTCATTGCATATAAGTTAAATATCAATGGTAAAGAGTGGGCAGTCCCTGGGGAATGTTTGCTCCCTTGTTATGATTTGTATCTAGGTGTCCCCCACAAAGCCTCATGCAGTCACTGGGGCGCCTTCTAGAGTTTGTGATTAATTCATGATCTAAGGCTGGGCTTACGGGTCTGCGTACTGCTGGGATTATTGATGTGAGTGCGACACCCACCCTGGGCAGATAGCCTGAAGGCAATAGAAGGAAAGGAGAGAGGCTTGCCTCCGCCACTGCTGCTGCTGCTCCACTCTTTTGCCTTTTCTCTTTGCTGTTTTCCACTGTTATGAGCTATTGCCCTCTGCTGTGTGGCACTGTGACTTGGAGCCAGCTGAGTATGGACTAAAACCTTCACTAACTGTGAGCTAAGTAAACCTTTCTTAATTTTGGGTGTCAGGTATTTTGTCCCAATGAGAGAAAAGTAACTGAGACATGCCTCCTGCCTCAGGACTTTCAAGTGTCATTTTCTCTGTGTAGATTCTCGTGTTTGTCCCCTCCCAACTCCCAGCTTCTTCCCACCAGACCTGGTCTCCAGCATTTTACTTTGCTTTGGAAGTATTTTCTCTGTGCAGTTGAGAATGATACATGTGTGTTTGTGTGTGTGTGATTCTGTAGGTGTAGGTACACCCACAGCCTGTTGTCTCCTGGATAACTGACGAGAATGCGATGGGTCTCACTTCTCTCCCTGGTGACATCAGGGGGCATCTCTAAGCAGAGTCTGACCCCTGGGTCCATACACACCAGAATCTATAGTGTCCTGGAGACACAGGGCCCAGACCTTGGCTCAGGAATTTGATGCATTCTCTCTACCTGTGAAAGGTAACAACATGTTTCTTTCATTCCCACGTCATTCAAGTCAAAACTACCAACAAGACACAAACTATTTTCTTCACTTCAGAACATTCCATTGTACTCCTTAGCATCCATGTCTTTCTCTTCGGATGCCTCTAGTGCAGGCCATAGTGATGTGGATTCTGACACTAGAGTTTTTCCTCTTCTGGAAAGAAATAAAAATGCAAACACGTAGTATGTAATATTTGGTGCCTGCCTCCTTTCACTTAGCATAATGCCTTTTTTCCTCCATGTTTTGTGGCATACTGTGTAGTTTATTCTTCTTGATCCCTGAGTACTGTTCCATTGCATGACCATACTGCCATGTGATTGTTCATTCACCACTTTGTAGACATTTCAGTAGTCTCTAGTTTTTTGGAAACTGTAAAAAAAAAAAAAATCTACTGTACTAGATAAGGATGAGGCAGTATGGGCCCTGAGAGGGGAGGCACTTGCTCTCGGGGCTGTACTGGTGCAGCCCTCTCCTCTTCCCAGGCTTCTGGGTTAGGGCTGTGGCTCTAGGAGGTAGCTGAGGGGAGCCCAGGGCAGCCCAGACTGAGCAGCAGCTGACATAGAGCAGAACTTGCCTGCTCTTGCTCCTGTTGCTGTTGTACCACAGCTCTGATGGTGAGTTTGGAAATCACTAGCCAGCCACACACATGCACCAGCGCCCAGTACAGCCTGGTGCTGGGACGAGTTTCCTCCTCAAGGCTAAGCTGAGACAGGATAGGAGGAGTGTCCGGCACTGTTCCCTGCTGAGTAGACCTACCTTTCCCCACAAACATGAGCTTGGAATAGGCAACCTCCTTTTTGGAGAGAATAGCATTTAGTCTGCCTCAGTCAGCACCAGAAGTTTTGGTTACCTCCCTGCCTCAGTTCAGCCAAACGCCAGACACACAAAGGGAGACGCTGGCCCTGACCAGCCTTTTGGCTGTCTGGTCAGGTCAGTTTTCCTAGCTCAGCACTGCAAACCTCTTCAGGTCCTCCTTAGGCCAATTGGTGAAAAAGATGAGGTGACAATTCATGCTGTAAACTGGCAATTTTTAAAAATGAGGTCCATACAGAAAACAAAATGTGCACTCAATGACATTCCCCAACGGCTCCCTTGCTTGCTTCTCTTCACAGTAGTAACTGATGTCTTATTCACAACTCTTCAGTGCAGGGCCTGCTGGGTTTTGACAAAAACAAACCATCTCCTGGGTCAAGTGATAGAAAACGTCCAGCTGCCCAGAAAATGCAGGAGCCCTTGGCAGTGGATCCCCACCTAGGTAACCTGTGTTTTGACTAATGTCCAGGACAGTTTTGCTTCTTCTTGAAATTACCAAAGGTAGTAAATACCATGCATGTTTTTGCATAGTTTGTGTGTTTATTAGTAAACACACACAATGTTTTTGGGGTGCATCTATCTTTTGCCAGTTTCAGTGTTCTGCTGTCAGTAATGCATGTGGTTCCAATGTGTGAGTGGCTGCTGATGGTGGAGAACTGGATGGAACCAGAAGACATTCCATGTAAGAGGGCACTGAGGAGCCTCCTGTGGGTCTTTTTGTGGCCTTGTGCATTCATTTTTTTATTTCTGAGCATAGGCCTAGACACGGAATTAATGTGTCATGGAGCAGGTGTACTTCGAACTTCCCAGGAAGCTGCTGGACCATTTTCCAGAACGGATGCACTTCCTTGCTCTGCGAGCAGGAACAGGATGCACAGTGGTTCAAATTCATGCCAGTTAGAGGTTTTCCAGGGTGTCTTAAACATTGCCACATCCTGGCAGATGTGCAATAGTTTATCACAGTATTTTATTTTATTTTTAATTCATTTTATTGAGAAAGAAATAGCAATGAGACAGTTTCAAAATGAGTTAGTAGGATAGTTACAATAATTATTACATTGCTTTTTTTTTTTTTTTTTTTTTTTTTTGTCGGAACTGGGGATAGAACTCAAGCCCTTGAAGTTACCAGGCAAATGCTTATTGAACTGAGCTTTCTCCCCGGCCCCAGTACATTGCATATTGCTGTCTTCGTAGTAGTTATTCATAGTACAAGATGTAGACATGCTGTCTTGTCTAAACACTATTAGTACAAATCTTTCTTCTCATTGAACTAAGAGAAAGTAGCTATATTAGCGTGGTATTTTATATCATGGTTCCTGAGTCAGCAATGTTGTGGAGAGTTCTCTCTCTTGCCTTCGGTCATGAAAATCTCTTCTTTTGTGAAAAGACCCCAAACCTGTATTTTGTCCACTCTCTATTTCATGACAGTTTCCTTTAACCTTTTTACATAGCATACATTTACATTTATCACACAGCTCAGGAGGGAGCATGGAGCACTTCCATATAGCCCGAGCACACATTCCTTCCACTTGGCAGTTTACTTTAGAATGGTGCATCCCTCCCAGCAGTACACACACACACACACACACACACACACACCCCATTACACAAAGTCTATATTTATGCAGACCTTGCAGACCTCCTGGGTTTACCTAGTATTCTTATTCTGTTCTGGATCCCACCAAGGATGCCCCATTGCGCCAGTTGTCCTGTGTCCTTAGGCTCCTGCTGACTGTCACCCTTCCTCAGACTTCCCTTGTGTTTGATGATGCCAAAGACTTTGAGTTGTATCGGACCAGAACCTGGTAGCTTGTCCTTAGAGTGTCATCTGTGTGATCCTTTTTTCCCACTTAGGACAGAATTGTAGATTCGGGGTGGTAAACGACCACTGTCATCACATCGTATGAGAGACCCCTATCCTCACCTGGGCCGACATCACGCACATCGATCCCTGTCATTGGTCTGTGGAGTTTCCTTTGCTGGGAAACTGACAGTGGGAGGCTGCAGAAGTGAGTTTCAATGACAGCACCCATACCGCTGAGAGCACAGCAGCGCGTTGGTTTCTGTAGTGTAGTGGTTGTCACATTCGCCTCACATGCAAAAGGTCCCCGGTTCAAAACCGGGTGGAAACAGTTTGTGTTCATACAGTCCTAGGACTCAGCTTTTGGAGTACCCGTACGTTGAAGCACCATTTCCTAAACATTCTGTTCTTTTTCTCCCTAAAAACAGTCTGTTCTGAGGTGAGGATGGCTGTTTACCGAAGATGATTGCAAAATTCAGCTTGGGCGTCTGGAGGGATGTTGACGGCGGAAGCGCAGCAGCAGGGGTAGCTGAAGGTGCTAGCGAGGATGCGCTCACTCAGCGCAGCGCAGCACCGCTCTCTAACCCAGGAAACCTGATCGCCCTGCGCCTGAGATGCGGTCATTGTGGGTTCTTAACCCTCGCAGACTGCTTGTGCCCATTTGTGGTGA